GTATATATATATATTTATGTATATATATATATATATATATATATATATATATATACATACATAAATATATATATATACATATAATATATATATATATATATATAAATATATACATATATATATATATATATATACATATATAAATATATATATATATATATATATATATACATATATACATATTTAATATATATAAATATACATATATATATATATATATATATATATATATATATATATATATTTATGTATGTATATATATATATATATATATATATATATATATATATATATATATATATATATATATATATATATATAGTATATATATATATATATATATATATATATATATATATATATGTATATATATGCATATATAAATATATACATATATATATATATATATATACATATATAAATATATATATATATATATATATTCACATATATACATATATATATACATATATATATATATATATATATATATATATATATATATATATATATATATATATATATATATATATATATATATATATATATATATATATATATATACATATATATATATATATATATATATATATATATATATATATGTATATATGTATATATATATATATATGCAAATGCATATATATATATATATGTGCCATTTTGAAGCAGACAAAACAAGTGCAACTTTTTTGATTTATTTCATTTTTTTAAGTCTGGTTAATGTCAATGTCACGGTAGTTTTTTAATAATTAAAGGAAGTATCCAGAAGTTTCCAGAAGCATGTTGAAGTAATGCAGAATGTAACACCGTAATCCTTGAGAAGCATGATTATTTATTTTTATTATTTTTATGACTTCAAGTGCAAAAATGGCTCCCAACATTCTTGGATTGGAACTAAGAAACAAAATTTATGGCGATTAAAAATCGCGTGAAAAAATTGACTGTATCAAGAATGTGTTCCAAATATCGTTCTACAGGGAAGTTGGCAGCATATAACAAAGGTGGAAGACCGCATTCCACCACTTCTAGAGAGGATTCTATGATTGTTAGATCCGTCAAGAAGGACCCCTGGATATTATCAGTCAAGATACAAAAGCAATTAGAGCTGCCTGTATCAGACCAAACAATCAGGCGACGTGCTGTTTAATTTCCTGAGTTCAGGCAGGCATAGAAGCTTTTTTTTCTACTTGTCAGTTTTAAGTCAACCCTCTGTGATAGTTTTCTTATTTAGTTGCTATTATTCTAAGATTACTAAATTTTGTATTTTATTTCAAAAAGTTTTAGAAACTTTTGAAAAATCTTTAACAGTGTCATCAAAAAAAGTTCTGTTTCTCATACTTGAATTTGATCTTATCACCTATCATAATCTTAATCATAAGCCTTTATTGCTTAAAAAGAACTTTTCTTTTAGTTCATCTCTTGAATCTAATGACCTCACTTTCCCTGTTACCCCAAAGAAACAGGTTAATCTACTGTTAGACTAGAATGCAGACTGTTGTAATTGTAATGAAAGCAATAGCACAAACAAAAACTGTCGTTATTGTATTATTTTATTTAGAATCTAAAAAATTATCAGAAAATAAGTTCTAGACACTTTTGCCATTTTTCTCTAAATTGTTTAACAAATTCTACTCTCACACAATCAATACAGATTTTGATGCTCTTAAATTTTTATTCTCAATACAGATTTTGATTCTACTGCCCATTTAATGTTTTAATACAATAATAATAATATTAGAATAATAATAATAATAATAATGTTACAATTCGATTTCATAATTAACAAAAAAAATGTTAAATATAAATTCGAATAGTAACATTGCTATTCTATTTATTACTTTTACAAATATAATTAAAATAGTCCAAACCCTGTTGCTCTCTTTATACTTAGTTAGGTTAGTTATGATTGTTCTCGAAGTTTTTTAAATTATTAAATCACTCCATTCTAAGTACAGCATGAAAGTTGTCCTTGATGGAGAAAAGTCTTCTTTATTTCTAGTAACTTCGGGAGTTTCAAAAGGTTCAATCCTTGGTCTGGTGTTATTTCTCATCTTATCTATAAAAGACTATAAAAGTAAATAGTTAGAGAGTTATGATTTTTTTTTAATAAAAATATTTTTAAAACATGATATTGCAACTAAAGCTTTCAATGTAAAATCCCTTAAATGTTAGTGAGGTCTGTTGCTTTTGACATATTAAAGGCTTTTCATAAAACCTAGCATGCTGGTGTTTTCTATAAGCTCTCTTCGTAAGATATATTTAAAAAAATTATTAAAATTTTAAAAATATTTTTTACTAACTCGATATTTAAATTGTTTATGATGAATAACAGTCTACTTTATTTTCAGCAACTTCTGAGGTACCGTAAGGTTCCATTCTGCTTCTTGTGTTGTTTCTCAACTATATTATTAAATGTACCGCCAATAATTATCAATGTTGTTGCTATTTCTATACTGATGATTGGCAACACTTTTAGTCAGTCCTCTAACTTTTTTTTTCTTTGATTTATCCCTGACAACTGACATTTCATAGAAATAAAATATACAGTCCTTTACAAAATCAGCATCTTCTAAGATTGCTTCTTTTTATCATGCTTGCCACTTTATTTTTTGCTATTACTTCTTATCTTATTTTCTACCTCTGTAAATCTTTTATTCGTCTTTGCAGGGAATATTGTTTAACTAATTTTTTTTTAAACGCTTTTTCTATTAGACTTGGTCCAAAAAAATGTTGCAAATTTTGTTGAAACAAATAGTTGATACTTAATAAGCCTCTGTTCAAACATTGTAATGTTGCATTTCTTTTTTTCTTTTTTAGAAAATCTGTGCTTAGGAATTTTTTCTTGTTTTCACATTTTCATGACAGCTTTCCTTCTTCTTTAAATCACTCTTTTACTTTTTGCTTTTTAACTTCTAACTTGAGTTTGCTTATAACATTGTTTGGAGTGATATTATTTAAAAAGCAAAAAAGAGAAGAAAAAAAAAAAATCAGTTCGATAAACAATTTTTCTTTTATAAAATAGCTATTAATAAAAAAAGTTGCGATCATTCATAACTTTTTTTTTTACATATATAATTTACATAATAACTTTAAATATTTTGCAAGTTGCTAGAACTCAGCCTCAGAGCAGTATACCTTAGGTTTACTTAAATTTCTTAAATAATTTCTTTTTTAGATTCCTTTTTATTTGTCAATTTAAATTTTTTTTCCATGAACAAATTGTTGGCAAAACAAACAATTGGACAAGTGTTTCTCAGTTGGTGCATAGTTTTAATTCAGCTAAAGTTTGTGTGTGTGTATATATATATGTGTGTGTGTGTGTGTGTGTGTGTGTGTGTGTGTGTGTGTATATTTATATAAATAAAAATATATAAATAAATATATAAATATGTATATATGTTTATATGTATATATATATATATATATATACATATATATATATATATATATATATATATATATATATATATATATATATATATATATATATATATATATATATATATATATATATATTTGTGTATTATTTATATTGTCTTGTACGATGTTTATATTCTCATATATTTTTATTATACTGTCATATATATCATAATAATAATACTTGTGTGTGAAAGTTTAGTTTTTTTGTATATTATAAATTATTTTTTTTAAATAAATGTTTGTATCATGCGGTAGGCTGTTATGTTTTGTCAGTATATACTGCTTGTAATTTCCCCTGTACTTATATATTTAATTGTTGTTTGAAAGTTAATATTGACTTTTTAATATTATATAATTACTTTATTCTTGCAATAATTGTTGCTTAATTTATTAATATTATTGCTATTATTGTTAATATGATTATCATTACTATTGGTATTTAAAATTTATTTTTTTTATTTGTTTTATACTTATGATTAATTGTAAGTAAAAAACAAATACTAATCTATTTATTTCAACATTTTTTTTTTTTTTACTTTCTACTTTGTAAGAGTTTCTTACTTATTAGTTATTATGCTGTTTTATTTGTTAACTTAATTTTTTTTTTTTTTAGTTATTATTGGTGTCGTTTTTGTTTTAGTTTTTGAATTTATCTTTTTTTTTTTAAGTCTAGTTGTTTGTCAAGTATCATATTATTAAATTACTTATACATTTTTCATTTTTATTAAAACATTATAACTATTAATAATTATTGTCTGTTTTTATATGATACTGTTTTTTATCTCACAGTAAGTTGTTACTTTATGTCAGTTTTTAACTGTTTATAACTTTTCTTATTCAATTTTTGTTTAGAAATCTATTAATGATCATATTAGTTTTATTAATTTATTTTTGTGTATTGTTTATAATGTCGTGTGTTTTTGTGTATTTTTTATATTGTGGTGTATTTCTATGTTTTGGTTATACTGTGGTATAATTTTGTGCATTGTTTATATTGATGTGTACACTTATGTATTGTTTATGTTGGCGTGCATTTTTTTTTTTTTTTTTTTTTTTTTTGTGGTCTTGTTGCTAAATATTTCTATTATTGTTGCTTTTTATATTTGTTGCTATTATTCAAGTTATTTTTTATTTTTTGTCTCATCATAATATTTAAAAACATCCTTTTTTTTTTAAGTTTTCTTCCTTATTTTTATCATCCTTCTGATCGCCAAACATTCCGTTATCTCATCCATTTGTTATCTATCATGTCAGTTTATTCATTTTTGCCCCTTTTTTTCGTTATTTTTTTCGCTTTTATATATTGATTTTTTCTTTTTATTTTGTTTAATTTTATTTTGGTTGCTATCTGCATTACTTTTTTTTGCTTATTTGTTTATTTTATTAAGGTGTCACTCCAATGACTAGTTTTTAACTATATCAGTGACAACGAATCTAATTTTGTGAAATTATAAATCACTTTGCAATTACTTCAACTTTATGGTTATATAAATAAATATATATATATATATATATATATATATATATATATATATATATATATATATATATATATATATGCATATATATATATATATATATATATATATATATATATATATATATATATATATATATATATATATACACACACACACACACATACATGTTAAAGGATAATTTTAGGGATAAATTATGTTTGAATACAATGATTGTTTATGCAATACTTGGTGTGGTTGGAATTGGTTACATGGAACTATTTATTATATTTGCTGCTACTTCTGCAGAGTTTGGTATTAATGACATTGTTTGTTGGTTTTTAAAAGTAATAAACGTGCTGAGTTTATAGCATTGTAATAAAACAAAACAAAAAATTTATTTTTATGTTGAATCATTAGAGGGATTATCAATGAGTAGTTCACATATTGGTTTGCTGCTAATGTTTTGTGCAGTTGTTGATATTGTTGGAAGTGTTACCATTTCACCAAAGGTTGGTAATATAAATCAAAAATGCAACCTTAGGAATTAGAAAAAATAAAGTTAGCAATAACTTGCTGACCTTAAACTATTCATCATTCGGTTGACATAAAAATTTTTATAACAATATAGAAAACAAGGTTGATTAAAGTTTGCTGATCTGAGACACTTTTAGTTTAGCAGTTAAGTTTGCCGAATGTTGACACTAGTTTTAAGGGCTGTATATGTATTTGTGTATTGTTTACAAGTTAATTCTATAAAACAATGTCTATTTACTGTAGTTAAAAATCTCTCTAACTATATTAAATTGTTATTACCAATTAAATTGCTGTTATAGTTCTTATTATAAGTAATATAAATTATGTAAAAATATTATTTTATTTATTAATATTCACAATTTAAAATGTCTCTTGTGAATATGTATTCTGTAATCTGTTCATAAACAGAGAAATTAGAGCTGATGTTTAAGATATAAGACAATATTTGATTTAATTTTTCTAATTAAACAATCATGTGGTTTGATCCATATGCATAAAATATCTATAAAATATTTATTATTTAAAACAAGTTTATTGAAAATGAGGTTAAATGCAGCAGAATAAGAATTCTTTCATAAATGTCTCAATATTTTTTTGTTAAAAAATCGTAATATAAAAAAAAGTTTAATCAAAATGGTCATTCATTTTTTGGTAAAAGGTGTTCTGGCTCTCAAAGTTAAGCTAAAAAGATTTGTAAGCAACAGAATAGGGTTCAGTCATAAAAATTGGGTCTTAAATTTGGTTTAAATCAACAATTGATCGTCGATTCAAAATGTATATATATATATATATATATATATATATATATATATATATATATATATATATATATATATATATACATATATATACATATATATATATATATATGTATATATATATATATATATATATATATATATATATATATATATATATATATATATATATATATATATATATATATATAAACAAAAATTGACAAAAAAAACTTGTTAATCAGACTCTATTTAAAATTACTTTTTTTTTTCAAAGAAAAATACTTTTGTTTTGCAGGTGGTAAAATGCCTAAAACTTCTAGGTATGACTCAGAAACAACCAGAGAGTGTTGGTTTTGAAGGAAATAAGAAATTTTCAAATTTTATAATCTTTTAAAAGGAACTTTTTCACTGGATTAGTTTAGTTATTATATTAGTCAGAAAAGTATGAAGATGGCAGAGAATTCTAAAGAGTTAAAGTGCGGGAAAAAAAACTAGACAAATAAAAGTTTTTAGAGCATGCAGAGACAGATACAGTAAACAAATAAGATCTTGCTAAATAACAAGTCAAACGAAAATGAGTTTTAGTCAATGAAACTAAAGAGGATAGCTCCTATGAGCAGCTTCTATGATAGCATTTGTAGAAATAAGAAAGAGTTGCTGCTTTATGACAACGAGTAAGAGGCTCAAGCTTAGCAGTTAGAAAATGCATTTTTGGACTTTGTTTAGAAGAGAAAGAGCATCATTAGAAGAACCATGACAACAGTATTCCATAAATGACTATTCGTGCAACATCACATCTTTTTGTAAACTTTACAAGCACACATTCTTAATTCCATAATGTAAATAACACTTAAGTGTTTTTCGGATTTGTTTTATATCCTTTAATAAAATTTTGTCTTCTTTTTAAAAAATGATTGAAATAGTTATATTTAAATTTTGTTTTCTTTTTGAAAAATTATTGAAATAATTAGTTACATAAAAAGTGTAACATATTACATAAATAATTGCATTTTTTTAAAAATTATTTATTGTAAAAATTAAATATATTTTTAAATTATTTAAATTATTAAGTTTTTTTTTTTTTATATAAACTTTGATTGCTATTAAAAAAAAAAATTTTTTTCTATTTTATGTTCTTCTGCAAATTATATATTCAGCTTCATCAATTTTTGTTGTTGTTGTAAAACAACAACAACAAAAATTCTTATAAGTTTTTTTAATTCATTTTGCTTTTAAAAATCTTTTGAAGTTTAATAAATAACAACGTCATAAATGAATATTTTTAAGTAGCATCCAAGGTACAGTTGTTAGAGACACCTATTATTGCCAATTGTAACAAAAAGTAATAACAAATCAACAGGAAATGATAGGAAATTTAGCAGCAAATGATAAAGACTTGTGTTGGAACAAAATGAGTTCAGTACAGTACAAAAAGAAGATGAAAAGATTTTTAAACCAGACAATAGACACATAAAAATTAATACTTTCCTTTAAAATGTATTTAGGTTTTTAATCTGCAAATGATAATATAATGCTTTTCTATAAATTTACTTTTATCATTTTTAAATAATCAGGGTGGTCAGCAGGGTTGGCAAAAACCCGGGTTTTTTTAAAAAAACCCGGCCCAGTGGGTTTTTTTGGGTTTTATTGGGTTTTTTTGGGTTTAATTTTTATTTTGTCTCTGTAAAAAAATTTTTTGTGTTTTTGTTTTATGATATTGATAATTAGTTTTTTTCTACTTTAACTTTATTTAAAATATATTTAATATATTGTTTTTTAATTATTTATAACAAGAATTTTTCAAATTATTTTGAAAAAGATTTTTAAATATAATTTAAAACTGTAATAGAAAAAAAAAATTTCACGCTTAATCTATATGTATTGATTTATTTTAAATTTAAAAGTATTATTCTATATAATTAAAAATTTCAATGAGAAAATGTGAAAAAGAAGGCTAGAGAATGGGAGGTAGTAACTGAAGTTTCAATTAAACTTTGAACTTGAAATTCAAATGAACAAACTTGTTCCTCTGCGCAGCAGCCTTGTTTATAAAGATTCGTGTTTAGGAGTTAAAGAGTTTTTTTTCTTCTTTAAATCAATTCACCTCCTCAGAGCTTATGGTCACTACAGGCGAGGAGGCTACTTATTTGTGGTTATAACCCTCTCTCAACTCTATAACTCCGAAACATGAACCTTGACAAACAAGGCCGCTGCGCGGAGAAAGGAGTTGAGTGCGGTACTGCCAGGGACGTGGTGGGGATTGAACTCGGAACCTCTCACTTATGAAGTGAGCGCTCTACCACAACACCACTACCGCAAAAGAGTTGAGAGAGGGTTGTAACCACAACAAAGTAGCCTCCTCGACTGTTGTGTTAGCTTCTCTGGTCACTACTACTCATTTAAATTCAACTTGGGAGGTGAACAACATAAAATAATAAAAATCTCAATCGATAAAAATATTTGAATAAAAATTGTAATAATGTATTTCCAAATAATGATTCAAATAATAGTAAACCTGCTCTGATAGCTGTTATTGTTGGTTATAATAGTTAATAATAATAGTTAATAATAATTAAGTTAATAAAAATAGTTAATAATTATTTTAGTAAATAATATTATAGTTATAATGTTAAAGTTGGTTATAATAGTTCATAAACTTATTAAATATCTTTAAAAAAACCCAATAAAACCCAGATTTTCCAGGGTTTTATTGGGTTTTTTTAGGCGGGTTTTATTGGGCGGGTTTTTTTGGGCGGGTTTTTTAATGCCAACCCTGGTGGTCAGCAACTTGGACATCCTGCTAAAGTCAGAAAATCAAATAAATTATACTATAACTCAGGATATATTCATTGATTTAATTGCAAGCTGAGTCGATGAGAGCACTTTTGAACCAAGTTTATGTTTTTGGGTAAAAGTAAAAGTGAAACTTTTTTGTATGTTAAACGTTTTGCTTTGTATGTTAAAATTTTAGGGAAAAGTCATGGATAATGAACATGAAAATTTATTGGCCATTCTGATTGTATTCATTTACATTAATCAAAAACACTCATATTAAAATGATCAAAGGCATTCATATTCGACATGATATTATCTAACAAATTGACTGATCCTCACAGTCATATAATTAACGGGAAACATTATATATATCAAATTCCTCTATACATGAGCATTATGTAAAGGAACATTAGAAAGCTGTCTAGATTTTGTGTCCAGATAATTGTAGTCTTTTGTAAAAGTATTTTTAATGTTGCCCCAATAGTATTTTTAATATCAAGTCCTTGTTTAGTAAATTTATAATATATAGTCTAAAGATACAATCATATTATTTTACATAAAAAAATACAATAGTTATGGAATAACAGCAGTAAGTGATAAGAATCAGCCCTTTGTCTGCAAGAATACAGCCACCAAGTTTAATTTTCTGATAAAAGTTTTTTCTGATATAGTAATCTGAATAATACACAATCACCAAGTCATAGTAATCAATCATAGTAATCTGAATAATACACAATCACCAAGTCAGGAGATAGAAAACAAGTTGCCCCAGCTGGTTTTTATTATATACCAATTAGATATTTAATGGTTGTTTAATGGTATTGATATGTTTATAACTAAACCAAGTTTGCTATCGTGAAGTTAAAGTTTTTTTTTTATTGTGCTTTATAAGCACAAAATAAAGATGATCCTTCAACATCAGGCATGAGTGAAACTTTTTTTTGTAAAATGAGTTTTAACTTTGTTAAAGAGTTGCATTACCATTTAAAATTTTGGTATGAAATTAGTTTACTTTTGTTCAAGCTTCTCTTTTTTGGATTGAACTAGATATTGGAGCAACTTCAATGTTATGAAATGTTATAGATTACTTTAATCCAGTTTCTACGTCATATTTTAGCTTTAATCCAGTCTCTAAGTTTTCTTCTTTTAAAAGCTGATTTTTGAAAAGAAATTTTATAAATTCTAAATCCGCATTAGTTTTCACATCTTTTTGAGTAACTAATGGCACAACAACAGGTTGAAATAATTTAATTCTTGCTAAAATTCAATAAGCAAGTAAATTTCCTAACAAAACATACAAATATCTTAATGTTTTTTGCTTCAAAATTTTAGATTATTTATATTTTCTGCCTACAAGAATGTGCGCATGTTTTTTTGAAAACAAGAATGTAAATGTTCGCAAGTCATCTATACAGGGACGAATAAAAGATTTGTAGAGGTAGAGAATGGAATCAGTAGTAAGAAAATGGCAAGCACAATAAGGCAAAGCAATTTTAGCAGATGTTAGTTTAGCAATTGGTTGTATATATGGTTTTCATGAAAGGTCAGTAGTAAATGATAATCCAAGAATACGTAAAGAAGAGGACACAGTGAGAGATCATTGATTAATTGTCATTCATTAAGAAAGGAATGTTGACAGTATTGCGATAGTTATTTGCAGTAAAGAACTGAGTTTTGTTGGAATTAAAATTTACAAGCTACTGCTAGATATAATCTATTAGAAGTAAGATCAGATTCAAGATAGCTAAGCTAAGCGATCAAAAAAAAGAAGACTTTTTGTCAAGACAGGAATATAATGTTGAGTCATAGTTGAAAATTACTGGAAATGAATAAGAGAGTTGGCCTTCAAGGATGGCTTTATTAAAGCGGTTAGAAAGAAACAGTTTGATAATTTCAAAAACTTTCACAGATACACCATATAAAACAAGCTTATGGAGAAGGCCAGCATACCAAACTTTGTCAAAAGCTTTAGATATGTCAAGAGTAATAGCCTCTCTGCCTCCATCTAATATACAATAAATTGTTTCAGTCACAGCAGTTAGATATGTCGAGAGCAATAGCCCTAGCCTCACCGCCTTCATCTAATGCACGATAAAATCTTTCAGTTGCAGCAGTTAGCAAGTCAGCCGCAGAGTAAGAGGATCGAAAACCATATTGATTGTCTGACAGTATGTTATTTGACTCAAGATGGGATGTGAGAAATTCGTTTATCAAAGACTCAAAGACCTTGCTAATTACAGAAAGAAGACTGATTCAACAATAATTGGAGAGGTCAGAATGTTCACCAGAATTTTTAAAAATTGGAACAATAGATGCTATTTTCCAGAAAAGGCAGAAAAACAAGACTTAGTCAAGCACATTAATTAGTTTAGAGAAAATTGAAGAGAATTTTAGAAAACTGTTTTGTAAGGCTATGACAGAAATGTTGTCTAGACCATAAGATGTAAAGAGTTTAATATATGACTTTAGCAACAGAAACTGGAGTGATTTGAATGTCTAACAATGAGTTAACCTGTTTAATTGGAATGGAAAGAAAAGAATGGTCATAATATTCAATAGTCGAGTTAGAAAAAAAGTTATCCTTGGGAGAGGTAATAAGATCAGTCCCATAAATGAGAGATGATATGTTAGATCTGCCCTTGTTAATAACGCTGTTGAAATTTTTTCGAAAGTCTCTGGAGCCTAACTTCTGAGATAAGATACAAGATTTAGTGAATTGAGAAAAATGGAGCTTACCTTTTTACATAGATATCTTGCAATAATGAATAGCCGTTTGTTCTCAAGTGAGTTGTTCTTTTAAAAATGGTGAAAAAAAATCTTATGAGAAGATATAAAGCTACACAAGGATGTAAAAACCAAGGAGTATAATGAGGCTTCACTTAATGGAATAAAAGCTTCCATTCCTGCCTGAATCCAGGAAAACTTAGGAAGCGCATTTATCAGCTGAGAGAGGAAAGACATTGGCCCTATGTCATAAAGAAAATCACAAAAAGAATCTCGGTCATCATTAGGGTAAGTATGTATGTATAGGGTGAGTTGGAAGAAGATAATATGATAGGGTGAGTTGGAAAAAGAAGTGTAAGATAAAAGACTTATAGAAATCATTGCATGGTCAGAAACACCTAAAGGAAAAAAAGGAGAAACTGAACACAAGCTAGGGTCAGAGACAAGACGTAAATCAAGGAGTGAAGGTTAATGGTTAGAGTTGTCAGGGAAATGAGTCACAAAGTATCTGAGTAAGAGATTGAGAATTGCAGAAGTTATAGGCTTTGGTGCCAGCAAGGTCACTGACATGAGCCTAACCATTCAGTGTGATGAGCAATAAAGTCACCAATAACAACATTATTAGCAGAGAGGTAAAGAGAAAGGGCATAGTCAATTTGATTAGAAATTACCTTTAAAAGAGTGCATTCTTGGGAAGAAGGAGAACAATAAAGAACCAAAAGAAAGGTGATAGAGTAAAGAGATGCTAAGTGCCTAATCAAATGGTCAAAGGGTTCAAACCTGATTTCATGACATATAGGTGATTTGATCTGTATGTAAATCTCAAGGCAAGCATATGGCTATTGAAGTCTTTGCAATTCAAAGGTTAGTACTCATTAGCTTTGAAGAAGGAATAGTGGAATTTAAATTATTCTTGCTACAAGCAAGCAAGTCTGGTAAATTTTGCAAGGGGTAAGATTAAACTGATGGAAGGTTGGTTCGCAGACCACGAATATTTGTAAAAAATTTATTAAAAGAGTTAGGTGGTGGGTATGGTTTTTTATGTTTAATTTAAATATTAAAATAAGAAAATAAAGATTGTAAAATAAGAATTGTAAAATAAAATAAAAAATGAATAAAAGTGAATAATATTAACTGCAATTTTACAAAAGTCTGACATTTTGTTAATGATTGACTCTACCCAAATGTTACTAACTGTTATGTATCACTCTTAAGATAATCTCTATTTATTATCTCTGTTATGTTATCTTTATTATATTATAAACGATATAGAGTATTGTTATAATAAATATATAATATTATCTGTTTAGTTTTATTTTTTATTTCAAACTTTTTATTTGTAGATTGTTCAAAAAGTTGGCGCTAAAAAGGTAAAAATGTTTTTATATCTTGTTTTGTTTTAATCTTTTTTTTTAAAAAGTAATAGTACACAACAAATAAAAAATATAACAAACATTAATGATAGTTTATATAAAATAAAAAATATGCTCAAACAACTTCTTTTTATTTATTTATTGTTTTTAACAAAAAATAACAAAGCTTTCAACAACAAATATAAATAAAGTAAAAAAGATTTTCTATAATAAATAGTAAATAAATAACCTTTTTATGAGTGGATGTGCTAGTTGTGTTTTACACATGATAGTGTCTCCATGGTGATATTTCATTAGTGTAAGACTAGATGAAAAACTATAGTAAGGCTTAAGTTGGGATAGAAGTTGCATAATTGCTGAGAGTAAATTGTCAAGTCTTTTCCTTCTTTTCTTTTTTAATTTACTTATTTATTGTTTTTTTTTTTTATTTTAATTATTTATTTTTTTATTTTAATTATTTAATTATTTTTTGTTTTTTTTTTTTATTTTCTTTGCAACTCTTTTTCTAAAAAGGTTTTCTAAAGTTAAGTTATCATTTCATTATTAAACTATTATTTAATAGTATCTCATTGTGAAATGTATCTTTTGAAACATGTTAGAGCAGCCATATATGGTACCATACATTGATATGCAGTTGCTTCAAAATTGAGAGGTTTGTGGTTAAATTCCAGATCTGGCCATATTTGCAACATTGGTAAGCATAAGAGTGTGCTTTCTATTTAAATGCTCTTCCGCTGACTGTAAGGGCTTCATAGAGCACCTTTATAACTAGATTTTAATAAAATTTTCAAATATGTCACATATTTCAAAAAAATATATTTAAGCTTAAATATAAAACCGTAGCATCTACAGTAGTACCCAAATATTTCCGAACATGCTAAAAATATTAAATTTTGCAAATATTTTGGCACATATTTCAGTAAACCCAACAAATTATTCCTGACGTTGATTCCAAGTTAAAACGTTTTTATGTTTGCTATTATGATTTGGCATGACATTTTGAATGACATCACTTTGTAATGACATCACAATGAAGGAAGTGTTTGTTTAACGGTTATTCTTTTGCATTTTTCTCTGTTGATTTTGTTGTTTCTTTTTTTTCTATATCTTGTTATTTACTTTTGTTTAGTTAATACATGTAAAATATAATATAGGGTTTAATATTGTATGTATATATTTTTTCTAAGTTATTTTACTTTATTTTGCTTTACTTTGCTCATTCGTTGCTTTATTTTGCTTGTCTTTTTTTTTAATTTTGTGTCT